GGGCTGGAGCATGTGTGGGGAAAGTTATGGTGGAGTACCTCACATACTTGCCCATTTTACCTCTTAGTACTCGTGTGCTCATTTGCTTAAACTTATACAGCATTGCATATGTCAAAGGAAAACCTACTTAAAACGTTAAGGAATAACTGACTGTAGGGGGCACTTATTTCTATTCTTCTACTATCTTCTTCCTTCCGCCTCATATCATAAACACCTCCCATACCCAGAACAACAGAAGCATGAGGTTCATATATCTTATTTTAAAGAGTGCGTCTACTATTTATAAAACAATACAATACATTTCTGAATCCTGTTAAGCTGTTAGCCTCAATTATATCTTGCAGTGATAAGTTCGAGTTAATTATGTATTGTATACAAAAAAAATTACTTTTTAATAGCTTTAAGCTTGTTCTGTTCATTTTCACTGAATAGAATGCCAGCAGATTGAACACTGTGAGCTAACTGTAAAATCAGTTTATTAGCTACATCAACAAGGATAACTAATACTTTCACGCTTTATCTGAAGAGGCCACTGACTTACACAGTCGGTCTAAAAGTTTTTAAACCAGAATTGTCAGAGTTGGATGGAAAGCACAACAACCTTTTGAATTTTTTGTTTGGCACAAGGTTTGTAACATCATGCTCTGAGTGGAAAGGTGTCCATCTTCTTGGTAGCTTACATGCCCAGATTTAAGAATATCAGAGTGGATAGATTCTCCTGTAGCCAGGTCTTGAGAGTAATAGAAATTTAGGGGAAAATACGAAAAAACAAGGAACGCTACAGCTCAATGTAGTGACTTCCTGCTACACGCCAGAACACTTAAACAGGGGCTCAAAGAAGTAGAGCTCTCATCCTCGGGTCTGTGATTTAGGGTCTTTAACCATACCCCCTCACTATCCACTATTCCTTCCCCTTCCCATCCCTTTCCCATTGAAGAAGGTAGCCAGGGAGAATGCATTGTTCCTCATGGAACTAGTCTCACCTTCCACCCTTCATGAGTTGTGTTTGGTCACTAGCTGAGGCAGTCTTTTAGGTGAAACCCATTTATTGAGCTAGAACTTAATGATGAATTTGCTTCTTTTTTTATCTTTGGGAGGAGCTGTTAAAACAGCAGGACTGTTATTTTCAGTTAAGTTCCACTTTTTGGTCTTCTCATAAGTGCTGTATGGCTGTAGCCTGTGACTAAGCAGGAGGACATTTGTAGTCAGGTGTGCAAGGAGAACCATAGAATCGTAGGGCTGGAAGGGATCCCTAGGGTTATCTAGTCCAGGGGCAGGCAATTATTTTGGGCGGAGGGTTGCTTACCGAGTTTTAGCAAGCCATTGCGGGCCTCATGACAGGCAGTCCAGGGCAGATGAGTATTAATTTTCTAAATTTTTAGGGGCCCCATGGGCCGGATAGAATGGCTTGGTGGGCCACCTTTTCCCCACCCCTGATCTAGTCCAACCTCTTGCACAGATGCAGGACTTCCTATTCTTACAGCATCCCAGAGAGATGTCTATGCAGTCTCTTCTTGGAAAAACTCTTATGATGGTGATTTCACAACTTTTCTAGGCAGCCTACTCTCGTCCAATCAACCCCTTCTCCTCCTCTGGCAGAGATCCTCATTGAAGGACAGGAGCTGGAGAATGTTGAACACTTTGCATACCGTGGCAGGTATCTGTCAAAGGAGGCCAACATTGAAGAGGAGATCCAGTAGTATAGGTTGTGATGTGCCAGCTCTGCCTTCAGAAGACTGAATCATCTTGTGTTCAATGATAACATCAGGACTAGATCAACATTCTTACTATATAAGGCTGTGATAAACCCAACTCTTCTCTAGGGCTGTGAAGTTCAGGTGACCTACAAGGATCATCTGAAAAGCCTGGAATGCCATCACCAGCACTGCCTTCAGAAGATCTTTGGCATAAAGTGAGAGGATCATTGCAGAAATGCTAATGTCCTCACTGATGTTATCACCACCAGTGTGGAAGTGTTGATTATCCAACATAAGTTGCGGTGGACAGGACATTGTATGCCCATGCCTGATATATGTTTACCAAAGCCGCTGCTATACCCCAAACTCAGCCAAGGACAAAAGACATGCAGGCGGCTAGAGGAAATACTTCAAGGACACTTTCAAGGCAAACATTAAGAAGTTTGGTATTGACACTACATATTGGGAAAAACTAGCTTGGACAAGGCTACATGGTGCTGCCTTGTGAGAGAAGGTACTTCTTTCTTTGAGGAAAATTGTCTCACCCTGGAGGCAGAAAAACAGAAATGGAAGGAAAGGAAACAAGACCATGAAATGCATGGTCCAATCCTCCCTCTAGCCACCACCTGTGGCATTTGCAAGAGAGACTGTGGCTCTAGGATCGGCCTTGGCTATCAACCTACTCATCCAGAACCCTTTACTTGATGTGTGGAAGTGATCATCAACAGTGAGGGATTGCCGCCAATGCTGCCGACTGTTCTTTCAGTTGAGAAGAACTTTTTCCTAAGACTTGATCTAAATCTCCTTTGCTGTAATTAAAATGTATGTCTTGGTTATGGTAAGTAGTTAGAAAGCTCCAGATGAAGTACCTCCTCTCCACTGTGGTAGCCTGGCATGGTGAGAGGAACTTCTTAGATAACAAGGTTGTATACCTTCTGAAGCTTTATAGGTTGACATCAACACACTAACTTTCTGGAATCCTAGTGCGAACTAATAAACCACTTGTGTCCACATGCTCTAAAAATATAACTTCATATAAATGGATCATTGCATTTTGCATCATCTTCACCTTCTGAATGATCTCAAGCTGTAGCAGTTCATACAGGTGTTGAGCTACTTGCTTTACTAATTCTACCAGTGCAGACATGCTGGAGACTTACAAGTGGGTGGTGTAAATATTGAACACACTATTTTTTATGTTGCTATTCCAGGCACTGTGGCCACTTTGAAAATATGCTGAACATGTCGGGTGATGGATTAGGCAGGTTCTCTTAGAAAGATATGAAATGAGTCACAGTACCAGCTCCGTCCACCCTTTCTCAGGTCCTGAGATCAGCTGTGTTAGCAAAAAGTGGGGAGGATGCCCAGTGTTTGGCTCAAAACCTGCATGCATAGACTCCTAAATACATGGCCTGATGTCTTTTTCAAATAAGTTCAGTATTTAACAGCTCTCATTAGCTTCACATTCATCACTGCAGTAAATGTTATATATCAAGTAAAAATACAATATAACCCTTTGTTACCTCCTAGCTGGATTAGAACAAAGCAATGTGAGCATATCAGATATGTTATCTTGTTACACTGCATTAGTTCCCCATATCACCCTCCAGCTCTTTGTCCTTGTCTTCCAAGTTTTTTATGGTTTAGGCCCTGGATATTTAAAAGTTTACCTACTACTACAACAGTACCTCAACCCCTGTAATTAATAGCAGTCTGTACCCTTGTTATATCATTTTACTTTTAATCGTGTACTAATGAGGTACTAATGAGGAAAAGATCCATGATATCAGAACATAAATGCTAACATTACGTATACCGGCTCTTTGGGAAATGGATGACTACTTGCTGCATGTTGAGTGCATCTTTTAAAGAAGTGTTGCTGCTTTTTTATGTCTGTGTCTTTGTGCATTATTAATTGTACTGTAATTTACTGCCTTATTGCAAAGACTTATATTTTTTTTTTATATTTCTCTTGTGTGTTAAGTTTTTTGTACTCTCTGGTGCCTAAGTTTTCTGCCAAGAGCTTGCTATAGGCACCTGGAGTGTCCTTAATGTGCATCTGTAGGTGCTGCTATTCTGACTGGCTATAATTTATGAATCCCAGAAAGGCATAGGTAAGAGATGTCTCCTACCCATGCCTTTCTGGGATTCATAAACCATGTCACTCCATGCCTTAGTTCTCTGAGGGGCTGTAAACAAGTTATGCTCTTGGCACACCTAACCCACAGTTACAGCATTTAACCAGTCACAAATACTTTGATTAAAAGCATGGCGGATGCAGGTGGTGGCTCTACCCATCTTTTATGCCATCATCTAGTAGTTAACAATCACCTAAGAAGTGAAATACCTGGATTTAATGCTGTGCTTGGCTAGAAGGACTTTAAACCCTCATCTGTTACCTCCTAGGGTAATGCTGTAAATACTAGGCTGGGATGGAAACACTCCACACTTCCTGTAGACTGTGCTCCTGAGCAGTCAAGAGTGCAAGATTCATGGGTTTGGGCCCTACATACCTAACAGGCTACCTGCTGTTATAATGCCTCAACCCCTATAATTGAGAGGAGCGGTCTGTACCCTTTTAAACTTTATAATGAGGGCAGTCCTCTGAGGGGAGTCCTGTCTTCAGTCCTTGCTCTCAGAGTTCATGCATTTTATCCAGTGAGTCTAATGCAAGATGCATAAGTGATCCCCAGACAGGCATGAGAACATAAGGTTTGTCCCTTCCAGATGAATGTTTTCATCACCAGGTTGTAGAGTCACTCCCTGTTCTGGTCTTTCTAGCCCCAATAAGTAATATATTCCCAATTGCACAATGGTCCGACATCCACAGGAGGATGGAGAATGCCCCTTGCCTATAGCCTGGTGGTAAGGTAAAAGAGGTGGGTTTGAACCTTCTTAAACGGTGGAAGGCCCAGAACCCAGGTCTCTGGTTTCCAAGCCAGTGCTCTAGTCACCATGGCTAATGGTCTGTTTGGAAATGAGCCTTGTTGTTTATGCGTGTTCTAAAGCTCTTTTGTGTAAAGATGCTCATGAAATTGTTCTAGCGCAGGCAACTTCATGGCATTCTCTGAGGCTATTTTATTGTTTTATTGAAACCAGTTTTTAGAGTTTTATTTTTTACATAATTTAGATGTCTTTTGGATACTATTTCTAGGGATACCAATATTTTCATTACTTTTCATTGTTTTCTGCCTTTTGGGGTATAATGAGATGCTACAGACAGTTAAGCACTTCACGTATTGCAACGGAATTGAAATACTGGTCAATTAGACTAATTTTCTAATTTTATTTTGACTTGTCTAGAGAAGTTGGAAGTTGCACCACCATCTACAGGACAGCTGAAGCACGGTAAAAGAAAAATATTTTTGTTGAATATAGTTCATTTCTGTATGCAATTAATTGATTCTTTATATTTTAAATACTTTGTCTTAATTTCATGTAATTGTACATAAGCTTGCCTTGTAACTCTTTCTTTAATCTTAGAATGTGACCTGGCTAGATTTTGTAATAGCCACATTTTGCAGAATAATACTGCACCATTGTATCTTATTGTTATTAATGTTAAATTTCCAAGAACCCGAGTGCAAACTACTGTCAAGCGCCAATATAAAATGTTTTGTTAGCTTAAAGCTGTTTTGCTACTTTTAGCCAATTTTTTTGTATTTTTAATGGCCAGTCAAAATTCTGGTCCCCGGGCTTCCTGCAAAACAGACGTTAACAATTTTTTGTCTACTATGTTATATTTTAAATGTCAGAAGTGAGGTGAGGACTTCTGCATAAATATCAGACAATTTCTGAGAATTGAAAAGTAAAGTTGGCTTGGTTATAATAGAGTGCTCTCTTTTTAAGGAATTGATTTAGACTGTTAGATGCTGAAATTCACAGGATTGATTGATTTTTTTTTTTATTATTATTTTTTTTTTTGCTTTCCATCAAATATTGTATATCTATATATATTTGTGGAATAGTGGGTTGAAATTTATTTTCAACTATGTCTATGTCCACTAAATTCTTTTTCATGATCATTTTGGCAAACATTTACCAACAGATCTTAGCTTTAAAATTATTTTTTGGGGGCAAACTTTAAACACATGACAAATTTGAAATTTGCTTTGCATTTGAAGTCGTAAGCCAAAGTTAATTTTGTGAAATGATTGAATACACGAAGAACGAATGCATAACTTTTTGATTGGAGATATTTTGTGAACTGGGGGAGGGAGAAACATTTGGGTCAAGTTTTAGGTACAACAGAAGGAACCTAAGTAAATCTTGTTTTATATTAGTGGGCAAATACATGTGTGCACACTTGCTGTAGTTGTCATAGTTGTTTGTAGTGTAAATTATTTGAGGACCGTGCCTGTGAAGTGTATCAAATCCTATTGACGTGAGCAAGAATCTAATTAGACCTTTCTGTAGATCCTTAAGAGTACACATCTTGAAAGACATGGAAGGTGTTCATGTTATGACAGTTTTCAAATGACCATAATATTGAGTTATTTCAAGAAGAACCTCTTTTCCTGAACTTTGGTAGTGGAAGGAGAGGAAAAGAGGATGAAATACAGGAAGTGAGATCAAGCTCAATATGAGTAACAAGTAGGGGAGAAACCTTAAGTACACTGTTTCAGCACTAAAGAAACATAAAGGAAGATGCAGTCCCTCACCTGAGGAGCCAAGAGCTTACATAAATCAGTACCTAATGATTAAACAAAGAAAAAGTTGCACACTTGCAAATCATTCTTAAGCTATACTTAATGTTTTCTCTAATGTGATATAACATTTGTGGGGCCTACTGATTGGGGAATCTAGGAGTATATTGTGGATTTAAAACTATGTATATTTGAACTGTCTGGCTCTAGGCAATGCACACTGCAAAATCAAAAAACTGAAGTTTTCAGGAGCGAATGAAGAGGTTGGAAACTATTTACATGGGCAAGGGGGAAATTGCAGGGAAAGGAAACAACTAGGCACATCCCCTGTTAGTGGGAAATGCAAGTCAGAAGCATTGTGGACAATCTGACAAGTTTTTAAATATATTTTTAAATATTACATTGCATGTGTTCTGCAGTAGGAAGGATTCTAGTGTCTGCCTGTCCAAAATTAAAGCTTTACTAAGAATGTGTAGTGTAAGTAAATACATGATCCAGGTGCTGTTACCACTGACTTCCTATTGCAAGTGGTATGCCTATGTTGTTCGGAGTAAAAACAGAAAGTTCAATACGACAACTACTACCAAACTTCATAGAAGCATCAGGGGAAAAAGACTACTGCATGTGTGACATTATGTATTGTTTTCCCATTTGTCTTTTTAAATGAGATATTAAGATGAGCAACCAAAACTTGGGTTTATTTAAATTAGTGGATACTTACTGTCCCTTGTTGCTCATTTTTTTCAGTGTTCTTCCACAATGCATTACCTTTTGTGGGGTTTGGATTTTTGGATAATGCAATTATGATTGCTGCGGTAAGTCTGTCTTCTAATTTTGATCCAGGAACAGTAATGTTTCTCAGGTTTAAAAAAAGAAATAAAACGAATGAACAGAACTAAATATTTGAAGAGTTATTTATCTTATAAAAGAGAATAAAGATACTTATTTTGTTAATCTGTCTCCCTCCTCCCCCATATTGTCACATTTGTTTCTATTTTAATATTTCAACCGGAAAAATTTTCACATTAGAATTATAGAATCATTTCAAAATTGACTCTCTCTGTGCCCTGTTAATAGTAGTGATGTTTCATGTCTGAAGAATAAGAATTAAAAGTTGAGCTTAGTTCTGCCCAGGCTGAAAAATAGCACTCAGTCTTCTTGCTTTTAAAGAGTGGTATGTAGCAGGTGTTTCATGAGTCAAGAATTCTTTTGAGTCTTTTGACTGCAGCCTACTTGTTTTGTGGCACTGGGCATATCATTAGCCTCTCTGCTTCATTGCACTAAGTTTATGAGAGATACTGAACATAGTAGGAATGCACTTGTATAGAATATTAAGATTTGCTTATAAATAGTGCTGTGGAAATGTAATATAGAGGTTGAAATTATGAATTGGGATAGCACTTTCAAAGTTTCTATCTATTTGAAAGCTGGAGCACAGGTCAAAACATAATTCAGATTTAGAATTAGATGATTAATGCTGTAAGGCATGCTACTTGATGATGTTGTCTGTGCTTTGGCAGGGGGGTTAGGAGTGGGAAAAGGGGAAGATCCAGGGGAGGACCCAGAGTGGGGTACACCAATGCAGTTGTACTCCCTTTGGTTGAGTCATACATGAGAGCTCAGTATGGGATCTGCCCTGAACCCCTGCTTTCATGTGGCGTTGGAGCCCAGGGACTGAGTGCTGCTGCTGCTCTTCCTTTCCCTTGCTGCTGAATTCAGCAGGGAGGGGAAGGTTCAACAGCAGCAGCATTCAACCCCTGGGGTTTGGAGCCATGCCAGAGCAGGGGCTCTGGCTAGCAGTTGCATAACTAGGGATGGGCAAGAGGGGCACCTGCCAAGTCCTCACCCTGGGAGCATTGCCATGCCAGGAACTCCAAAAAAAGTTCCCGGCTCCTACTGCTTTCAGAGCTCTCCTGCAGGGTTTGCCCTGGACCCAGCTCTGTTTGTTATGCCAGGGCTGGCCAGACCCAACCAGGTGGTGAGCTCAGAGCTCAATGTGCATGTGCGGCACAGCTAAGTATTTGGGAGGATGCGGGGGCTGTGTCCGTGTCCCGTCTCCCCCCCCCC